GGGGTATCTGCTCTCACCAGAGAGACTCTTTTAAATTTCTAATCAGGAGCCAGGCCTGGGCCGGGCAGGGCTTGGCGGGGACAATGAGGCCAGGAGGCACTGGCCCGGGCCGCGGGCAGACAGGCAGGGAAGGGCTTGACTTCGGGGCGCGGGCTTTCCAGGAAGGGAAAAGGTCAGAGAGAGAAGGTCTCGGCGGGCAGCGGCCCTGGGGCCCCTCGGCCAGGTGCAAATTCGTCGTCAGGGCCAGGACGGCTGCAGGATGGCGTTCTTCTCCATCGGGGCGTTAATGTGCGATTTTTACACACTCAGAATTCCCTGGTAGTTGCTAGCAACGCGTGTCACCCGTGAGCAGGGCGCTGTTTCCCCGCCGGGCCGCTCAGCCTCCAAACGCCCTAGGCCCGAGCGGCCTAGACACCTGGACTCCGGGCTCGGGGTCCAGAACCTTCTCCCTTTATCCCCTGCGAGGCCCGGGCCGCCCCTTCTGGCGCTTTCCGCCCGGGGAAGGTGAGGCCGGGCGCGGGCCGGCGGTTGCCATGGTGGCTCCAGGCATCCGGGGGGCCTCCGGGAAACGCCAGCCGGGCCTCGGTGCGGAGAGAATGGGCTCACGGGGAAGACGGAAATTTTTCTAAAAGTGTGCAAACAGTTGAGTGAGCCCCACAGACACAAAAGGAAAAGGAGGGAAGACAAAGCGACAAAGGCCGCAGCAAAGCCGGCTGGGCCGCAAGATGAGGCCGATGGGGGGAGGGGCGGGAGGGGGCGGGGCGGGCGCAGGTGCACCGACCGGAAGGGGCGGGGGCGGAAGCCGCGCTGGGGCACGTGCAGGGGACAGTTGAGGAAGTCGACCCGAAGGCCACGGCAGAGTAGGTGTGGGGCGCTCTGTGTCGCTACGGTGTGTCACTGAGGAGCCGCACAATCCGGGAGGGGCCGGAGGGGCTTGGCGGCCGCCCAGCGGAGCCCCTTTCTTCCCAGGGACGACAGAAGCTGGAAGCCAAGGGTGAGGGGTGGCCCAAGGTCACACCACGGGGTCCGGGAGGGGGCACTCCGGTGCAAGCTCTTTCCCTGGCGCCACGCAGCCTGCTTTTCCTTGTTTGTTTACAACCCCCCCTCCCAGTCTCTCTCGTTCCTCTTATTGAGGTGCTACGGCGCGATGACTCCGTACCTGTAGGTCTCGTGTGCGACAGGGTGACGGCGGCTAGCAGCGCCGCAGTCCGAGTTTGGACTGTTGCTAAGAGAGCGAATCTCACGAGTTCTCACCACACACACGCAGCCGGTAACTACACTTGTTGTGGTGATGCTTTCGGGACATACTCAGCCTGCTGCTTAAACGTTCCGTCACACTTGAGCTCTGGACGCAGAGGCCTGGAAGGAGCGAGAACAGTGTTGCGAGGGCGGGAAGAAGCAAACAGACGGGAAGCGGGAAGGGCAGATCTCAGGCTGTGAGGACTGAGCGGGGCAGCACAAGGAGGCACGGGGTGGGGGCACCTGGGGAGGGCAGCTGGAGGAGGAGGAGGAGCAGCTGGAAGAGGAGGAGCAGCTGGAGGAG